ATGAAAAGACAACCTATTGAAGGTGAAAAGGTATTCACCAATGATATATCCAATAAGGTGTTGATATCCAAAATATTTTAGGAGAAATAAACAAAATGAAACAAAAAGAAAAAAAAAAGAAACAAAAACAAGACAAAGCAAAACAAACAAACCCCAAAATATATAAGGAACCCATGCAACTTAACACCAAAAAAACAAACAATCCAGTTAGAAGATGGTCAGAGGACCTGAAGGGACTTTTCTCCTAAGAGGACCTGCAGATGGCTGACAGTCATATGAAGAAGCTCAGCATCACTAATCATCAGAGAAATGCAAATTAAAATCACAATGAGATATATCACCTCCTACCTGTCAGAATGGCTGTTATCAAAAAAACACCAAAGAATAAGTGTTGGCATGGAAGTAGGGAAAAGGGAACCCTCATGCACTGTTGGTGAAAATGCAGATTGGTGCAGCCATTCTTGAAAACGGTATGGAGGTTCCTTAAATAATTAAAAATAGAGTTGCCATATGATCCAGCAATCCTACTTCTGGGTATTTATCTGAAAAAAACGAACACCAATTTGAAACAACATGTGCCCTCTGTGTTCATTGTACCATTATTTACAATAGCCAAGATATGGAAACAAGCTAGGTGTCCATTCATAGATGAATAGATAAAAAAGAAGTAGTACATACAGGGTGTCCTCATAAATCTATACCACTTTGAATAATTATTAATTACAATGGAGTACATCTGAAAAGAAAGAAACATCAACTGAGCTATCAGCTGTTAAAGTGTGTATACATTTTTTGGGGACACCCTATATATACAATGAAATATTACTCAGAAATAAAAAAAGAATAAGCCCTGGCCAGTGTGGCTCTGTTGGTTGGAGCGTCATCCTGTACACCAAAGGTGGCGGGTTTGATTCCCGGTCAGAGCACATACCTAGGTTGCAGGTTCAACCCCAGGTCAGGGTGCTTGCGGAAGGCAACTAATAGATGTTTCCCTTTCACATTGATGTTTCCCTCTCCCTCTCTCTAAAATCAAATCTTGGGGTTTGGAACAAGATGGCGGCGTAGGTAACCACTGTACCCGCCGCCGCCCACAACCACATCAAAATTACAACTAAAATATAGAACAACCATCACTCAGAACCTCCTGAAATCTGGCTGCACAGAAGCCCCACAACCAGGGAGCTGAAGCACTGAGACCAACAGGAGGGACGGAGATGCGGGCGCATCGGGCTGAGTCCTGGGGACCTGGCAGCGGGCCCACACCCGGTGCCGCGGGTTAAACCTGGGAAGGATATCTCGGCGGTGGAGGTTTCCCAGAGTGAGGGGTCCCAACCCCACATCAGGTCCCCCAGCCCAGGGTTTCAGGGCCAGGAAGAGACGTCCCCACAACTCCAGGCTGTAAAAACGAGCGGGGGTTGTGGCTGAGTGAGCGGAGGTAGCTCCTCTTACAGGGCGCGACCACGGACTCAGACGCGCTCCCTCTGAGCCCAGCACTGGGCGGCAGCTTGAAAGGAACCCGGGACACTCGGGGAGGAACTAACCTGCCTGAAATCCGGGCGAGAAGTGGAGGGGCGGCTTCCTCCCAGGCAGAAGGGCTGGCAGAGGCCGTGGCTCCTTTGGCGAGCCCTCCCCGCACACAGCCGGCAGGCAGGCGCCAGGTTTGAATCGCCAGCACCTGACTCTCACCTTTGGCCCCGCCCCGTGATTCCCAGAGGCCCCGCCCCTCCCCACCTGCAGCTCATCCAGGCCATTTCCAGGGGCTTTTCTATGCAAGTGGCCTCTCCAGCCTCATGCTTAGGAGTTTCCTAAAATCTCTCAAATAAGCAGCATCATGCCCCATATGGTTTGATAAGTGGCCCCAGGCCTGGCACTAGCAGCAGCCTGCATTGGCTCATAGCTTGGCCTCTCCTGGACAACTCAAAGCCCAGCACAAGTATCAGCCAACTACGGTTTTCTGTGTAGCTCATGCTGGGTGGCTCTGGGCAAGGCACTGGTAGAGGCTGACTTTGCACCTCCCAGGAGGCCCCAGAGAAGGTGCACCTGGTGGTCAGACTCGACCACGCTGGATTACAACCCTACCACATCCACGAGTGACACTCAAGGGGTGCACTTGGTGAACACCAAAGCTCCACTGGAGTAAATCCTGCTCCATGGGGGTGTCTCCAGCACAGCAGCACTCTGGCTATAGTTGCAGCTGGTCCTCACAGCCAGTTAGCCTGGGGGTCAATTCTTCCCAGTGATGCCAACAGCAACCAAGGCTCAACTACAACAGGACAGTGCACACAGCCCACACAGGGGAGCACCTAGAAGGCCCAGCTCAGGTGACTGGGGAGGCTGAGCCNAATTCTTCCCAGTGATGCCAACAGCAACCAAGGCTCAACTACAACAGGACAGTGCACACAGCCCACACAGGGGTGCACCTAGAAGGCCCAGATCAGGTGACTGGGGAGACTGAGCCACTGGACCCTACAGGACACCTAATACACAAAGCCACTCTGCCAATTCCAGGAGACATAGCAGCTCTACCTAATACATATAAACAAACACCTGGAAGCAGCCAAAATGTGGAGGCAAAGAAATATGTCACAAAGGAAAGAACAGAAGAAATTTCTAGAAGAGGAACTAAATGAAATAGAACCAAGCAAGCTACTAGATACAGAGTTCAGAACTGTGGTTATAAGGATGCTCAAGGATATTAGTAAGACTATTAAGAGAACAAGTGAGACCATCAATGACATAATAAGGTACCAATCAGAAATGAAGGCTACACAAACTGAAATGAAGAATAATTTACAGGGAATCAACTATAGAGTAGAGGACGCTGAGAATCAAATCAGCAATTTGGAACACGAGGAAGCAAAAAACATCCAATGAGGAGAGCAAAAAGAAAAAAGAATCCAGAAATATGAAGATAGTGTAAGGAGCCTCTGGGACAACTTCAAGAGGCCCAACATTCATATTATTGGGGTGCCAGAAGGAGAAAAGAGCAAGAAATGGAAAACCTATTTGAAAAAAATGACAGAAAACTTCCCCTACCTGGGGAAAGACATAGACTTACAAGTCCAGGAAGCATAAAGGGTCCCAAACAAGAGGAACCCAAAGAGGCCCACACCAAGACACATCATAATTAAAATGCTAAAGGTTAAAGACAAAGAGAGAAAAGCAGTTAGTTACCTACAAGGGAGCTCCCATATGACTGTCAGCTGATTTCTCAAGAGAAACCTTGCAGGCCAGAAGGGAGTGACAAGAAATATTCAAAGTGATGAAAAACAAGAAGCTACAACCAAGATTACTCTACCCAGCAAAGCTATCATTTAGAACTGAAGGTCAGATAAGGAGCTTCACAGACAAGGGAAAGCTAGAGGAGTTCATCACCACCAGACCAGTACTACATGAAATGTTGAAGGGTCTTCTTTAAGAAGAAGCTAATGAACAAAAGAATCTGACAAACTAAATAGATCCAGAGACACTGACACATGCAATAGACAATCATATTTTAGAGGAAAGGGGGTTAGAGGGTGGGAAGAGATTAACCAAAGAAGTTATAAGCATATATGCATAACCCATGGACACAGACAATAACAGGGTGAAGGCGTGGGGAGGGGGTGGGGGTGAAGTGGAGGGCATCAATTGGGAGGGGAAAATGGGACACCTGTAATACTTTCAACAATAAAGATAAATAAAAAAAATTAAAATTAAAAAAATAAAATCTTGCCATTTTCAACAACATGGATGGGTATGTATGGTTATGGTTATTATGGTATTATGGCTATTATGCTAAGTGAAATAAGTCAGATAGACAGACAAATACTGTATTGCCTCACTTATATGTGGAATCTAAAAAAATAAAGCCAAATAAATGAATAAATAAAACAAAATAGAAACAGAACTACAGCTATTGAGAAGAAGCTGATGGTTGCCCAAGGGAGGGGAGGGGAATGGGAATAAAAAAATAAATGAAACTATACAAGCATTAGAAGAAAACATCTTTCCCCCATCAAGGCTTTTTCCTGGCTGTGCCCTCCAGCAGAGACACCCACAGGTTCACTATGCCTCAAGGAGATGTCACCTCACACTTCCCACCTCTGTGCTCCCATCCTTCCCAAAGCTGCTCCCTCTGGACCTCCTTGAGGGCATAGGGCAGGGCTCACAAACTTGCTCAGGAACTGCTTAGTGAGTGTTGTGGGTTGAATCATGTCCCTTTAAAAGATACATTGAAGTCCTGAACCCCTGGTACCTAGGAATGTGACCTTATGTTGAAATATGGTCTTTGCAGATGTCATTAGTTAAGATGAGATCACGCTGGAGTAGGTGGGTCCTGTATACAATGACTGGCATCCTTATAAGAAGAGGACAGATGGACACACACACACACACACACACACACACACACACACACACACAGAGGAAGATGGCCATGTAAAGATGAAGATAGAAATCGGGGTGACACATATCTAAGCCCAGGGACACCAATGACTGCTGGCTATACCAGAAGCAGGAAGAGGCAGGGAGGACCCTCCCTGGAGCCTCCTTAGAGAACACAGCCCTGTGACACTTTAATCTTGGACTTCTAGCCTCCAGAATGTGAGAGACTAAGTTCCTGTTGTTTTAAGCTGCCCAGTGTGTGGTCATTTATCATGGCTGCCCCAGGAATCTTGCCCAATATCACACAGGCTGTGAGGGGCAGAGCTGGAATTGACCCGCCAACCCGCCCTGGGCTGATAGGCTCCAGCCTTCCTTTCCTCTACCTCCTCTGACTAACACAGACCCCGAACAAAGTGAGTGAAATCAGGCAGAGTGTGGGGACCCAGGATGGCTGGGGCATTGTGGTAGTGCAGGTGACAGATGCTCAGAGAGGGGTGTGTAGTGTGTGTACAAATCTAGCTTGAGTCCTTCATGCTGCAGTTGAGCCAGTCCTCCTCCTCTTGGAGACTGGGAGTCTAGTAGCAGGGGCGTCTCAAACTCTATCCAACCCCAAGGGTACTAGGGCCCTGCCTCACCTCCCGCAGGGGCCCGTTGAGCTCTCCCAGGATGCTGTCTTCATCAAACATCTTGCCTTGGTAGCGGTGCTCATAGTAGTCGTGGATTTTCTGTCGGAAGTCCGCAGGCAGCTTGTGGAAGGACATGTACTGCTCTACCTGCTTGTACTGTAAGGGGGCAGGAGGCCCGGGTTAGTGGCCACTGTTCAGAGAACCCCTGCCTCAGCCTGAATGTGGCTCCCAGGTTTAACTACAAGCACAACAAACACAGGATGCCCAGTTACATCTGAATTTCAAATCAATAGCAAAAATGCTTAGTGTAAGTGGATCCCGTGCAATACTTGGGATATACTTATGCTAACAGAAGTTACTCCTTGTGTCCTGAATTGTATCTGGCAACCCTATCTCTGACAGCTTGACCCCAGGCCCTCAAGACATTGAACCTCCACTACAGGGGCCCCCAACTGTGCCTATGGTTTTGGTGCTCCTCCTCCAGCATCTTCCTATAAACCCCAGCAGGGGTGGGCACCAGGCAGGAGTGCCAGGCCCTGCTGTCCCCAGGATGGCACCCCCAGGGGTGCCCTGCCCTGTTTCCACCCCAGCCCCACCCGACCACAGCTGCCCTGAGCTCAGCAGAACCCGTGATGGTGGGCGGGTGGCAGCACCAGCTCATGTTTGGGTGTGAGTCCGTGGCTTCCGGACAGCCGGGGCACCTGGCACTGGGCCCAGCTGACCCGGCTAACCCTACTGGGCACTGCTGGGGGTGCTCACAGCTGCCCAGCCAGGGTCAGCCATCAGATGATAGTGCTTGATAGACAGAGGCAGCATGGGGGTGAGGTCCAAGCTCACTGTTGGCACTTAGGGAAACTGAGGCACAGGATAGCCATCAAGGCCATACTCCAGAAAACGCTGGCCTATGGGGCCAGCGCCTGCTCTCCCTCAGCCCTTACTGTTCCCCGACCTTTGGACTAGTCCCACGGAGGTTCCCGCAGCCTGAGGCCAGGTCCAAGTGGCTGAACATTCTTGCTCCCTTAGTGGCCTCCTCCATGGACGTGACTGACCAACATGTACTCAAGTGACCCCAGTCCTCTTGAAGCCTGTTCAGTGCCTTCCCTGCCATGGTCCCTCCCAAGACAGCCCAGAAACCCCAGCATGAGTTCACCTCCTAGAGAGGTCCCCCTGCGTCCCCAGCCCCTCGGGAGCGCCTTGACTCCCCATGGATTGGCCCTGCTCTGTTTGAGCCCCTGGGCCCCATCTCCTCCTCCACATGTGTCCCCTCCAGGCTCCAGGCTTCCCTCTAGGGTCCCTACGCCCCCCACATGGAGCTGGAGAGATGGTGGGTGGAGCCCCCAGACCTTCTCCTGGTACTGGCGCCTGGAGGAGTCCAGCGACTGAATGAGGGCAGTGGCGTGTCCGATGAACATGGCATAGCAGGTGGCGCCCACGATCATGCTCAGCATTGTCAGCCAGATGTCGGTCATGCTCTCAGGCGCCTGCCGACCGTACCCAATGCAGAGCATGTGGCTCATGGCCTTGAAGAGGGCGAAGGAGTAGAGCTCGCTCCATGAGTGATTCTGCAAGGGCAAAGGTGGGCAGGTGGGCGGGCGCTCACAGCCCAGGGAGCTCCTCGACCCCAGGGGCCGCCTGCCTGTCCTCCCCCAGGCATCCAAGATGGCGAGCCTCCCACGTCTAGAGACAACCAAGAGAAACTAAGACTCAGGCAGGTGGTATGATGCGTACACACGTCACAGCGAGTCAGTGGCAGGAGCAGGTCTGGAGCTACTTCCCCATTTCACTCCTGGAGAAACTGAGGATCAGAGAGGCCAGAGCCTGGCCCTGGGTGCTCAGGAGCCCCCACCCCTTTGCAGCCTCTGATCGGAGTGTCTATAAGGCCAAGAGGGTGTGACAGTTCTAGGGACCCTGTGGAGGGTGAGCTGGGGACTCGGGAATCTGATCAGAGGGTCCGGGAAGGTGGAGGCATCTGGCAGGGCCAGTCCTCAGTTAACCCGACCGGGGAGGGGGCAGTGGGGCCCCACTCAGGAAGCAGGACAGCATGCCGGGTGTCCGGCCAGACAATGCGCTGCCTCAGCCGGGCAGCTGTGCCAGGCGCCGGGGGCCGCCGAGGATG